GCCAGTGCAACCTTATTTCACTTTTAGAAAATCCACCAATCCCTATCATCCTAAAACCATCTCTAAAAGCAAACTTTTGTAAATGGAGCATAAATTCTGTTATCTCTTCTTCACGATTACAACACTAAACACTGCAACCTCAACATAAGTGTCAAAATGTAGCGCTCCTAACATCTATTCAAGCACTGTGAAGTACTGTGATGTACTTCATCCACAACGTCATGAAAGCAATGCAGGCAAAACCTGCCAACTGTTGTTCACCAGAACAAGTTCTCTTGATAATGACCCATCTCCTATGGTCAACCTGTATATAAGCTCTGAACATTGCTACTTACATTTCAGACCAGAAGAGTTAATATCTCCAAAGATTTTTTTTCTGCCTAGGCTCTTTCTCTCAAGTTTCCTGAGCCTGTTCCTGGTTCCAGTAGAAAGAAACCAAAAAGGATCTTAAAAAGGATCTTGCAGGACCTGAATCCTTTAACTGACATGAGCTTCAATATTAACACCAGTCTCTCCACCACAATTCTCATAAGTTTCTGTAGGGGTTACCAACCTTATCAGTACTTCCCTTGATAAAAACCTCCACAAGGTACCCTGCCATGCACTCTCTCTCACGTTCCCTAAATGATTAAGGAAATTGAATTATTTTTGGTGAAACTTCTCTCAATTGCTTTTTAAGTTTATCTATATCACCCCTCAGAAGGAAACTAGATGCACTGAGTGCAGTTAGGCTAAATGTAGCAGCTTCAAGCTTAACAGGTGAACCGAGACAGCCTTTGTAACACAAGTTAATAAGACATAAATGAACTTATTCAAACCTCTAACACAGAGCTGCTTTTTCAATAGCTGCATTTACTGTAGCTGCATTTTCTCTTGTTTTATCTGGAAAATTTCATGTATGAGTACAAGACATTATTTTAGACTATTACAAATACAGTTACCAAGTCATGAGTCTTGAGCTAGTTATATTGCAAGAGCAGAACAAGAATATCCACTGCTAACAGACATGCAGCACCTTTCCGTCAGTTGATCAGTGCTATTACTCACACTTACACAAACGGCCAAGTCAGGCACAGAGCAGCTCAGGGAACCTGCACAGTAAATTCAAAAATACTGGAATGATCAAGACACATTTCTTTCTCTTAAACATGGTCCTACTTCTTTGCATTACTAACATGCTTTGTATTTCAAACCTGCTTCATTTCAAACTAATGCAGACATCAAATGATAATTATGAAATGTGGATTTCACATACACATCATCATCCACTGATTTGCATTGCATATGTCTAGACATCTGTATGGAAGTTACTGGCCACTTAATCAACACACCAAAGGGCTCATGCACACAAAGAAGTCATGTACGTGCCTTTGAAAATGAAATTTCTTTTGCCTCTTCAAATAGCCATAAATATTATTTTCATTTACAAGCTGGAATAATGAAAATTGTTTTAATTAAGCTGGAAAAACTCTAACTCAATTTCAGAGCTATGATCTAAACCATAATTATTATCAAAACTCCTATACAAAACTATTTTAATCAGCTCGTGATCATAGATAAGAATAAAAACTCTTACAAAGAAAATAAGAGCAGTTGCCACCATGCATCATGCATATATCTAGTTCTCAAGTCAAAATAAACAATACAGGCTGGAGAGCCCATGAATATTCTGAAAGGTAAATACAGAAAACATTTATGGCTTTTTTTAAAGTCACTTCATTGCCTGTAATGTTGTCCTTTTGATAGACTTATCTGCGAAGTCTGCCTGATAATGGAAAAAGATGTCAGCACTCACTGGGTTATCTTTTTGCTTGTGGTTTTAGACTGTGTAGTTCTGAGGTTGTCTAAGATCTACACTTATTTTATACTAGAAATCTTTCTATAATTCAGAGAAGTAAACATGTCAATCTAAGTTTGGCTTTCATCCCTTGGAATTTGTAACTACCTACTGCCAATTTGGTATTTCCATCTCCTTATTTACCCCTTGGACAAAAATCTATCATCACAATGCAGACCAAAATAAAGCCAGATCCAGTCCAGTCTATTTAGAATCAGCTGAACAGTTGCCTACAAAACTGTTGTGGCTTACAAGCAAAGCAAGAAACGGGCAACATGCATCATCAGTTTGTGACTGTACACAGACAACAAGGACTTCCAAAATACTGTCAGTTCAAGAAGAAGAATCAAGAGTAAAGTCCACTCTCCACAGTATTTATGCACAAGACCGAGAAAAAAGTCCGCATTCATAAAAATTCACAGCTCCTAGATTAGACAGAGTTCCCACCATCTCATTGGCTGCCTATGTAAAACAAATAGCCATCTCTATATAGACATTACATGTATAACAAAGTAGTTCCATGATTTTTTACACTTCAGTTAGTAAAATCTAGCCTCCAATATATGACAAGATGAGCAATGTCTTCAGAAACAACATATGATAAATAAGCATACAAGGCTGTGAGGATAAGCAGAACTGTTGGTCTGATCTAGCACCACACCAGCATATACAAAACAGTATCTCTGATTGATTAACTCAATTGGCTATATAAAGAAAAATAACAAGCTACTGAAATATTGACATAGCACTTCACAGGCAACTGCTGAATGAGGCCATTCCCAAACATACCAAAAGAAAAAGACACCTTGAATATCTGTGAACTCAGTGATAACAGCAGAGTGATCAAATCCTTACCCAAAGGAGCAACTTAATAACAGTCCCAACTTCCTCAAAATCTGACCCTGCCTTCGCAGCATTCAACGAGCTCCAGGTGAACTCTACCAGACTGACTGACTTACAAGTGACCTTACCTATACACGAAGTACCCTCATTTCCAGTAACTTAGCATGCCAGGAGCAATTTCAGCTGCCATTACAGTAGTTGAAATGTGAACAAAGTATTTACTGCTCTTTCTAGATTTTCTAATGCTATTTGCCAGTCAGAAACAAAAGAGGGGAAGGTCAAAAATCACCTACAACATGTCGTGTGGACAACCAGCAAACACTGTGAAACTAAACATCATTTCTCTGAACAGAAGGCTCTTCTCATACTACAGTGGTAGATGCACCTTAAAACCCTTTGACATGGTAATTAAGTGCGGCTGCAAATTGAAAATAAAAACAACAATTTGCATCATAGACAAATACATTTCAAATGCAGTTGAGAAAATAATGCTGGAAACATCATAATCATTGATTAACTCTTTTAATAATATAGCTTGAAAGGATCTTTTAGTTATTGAACACACCTAATTTTAAGCCTCTGGGGGAAAAAAAAAAAAAAAAAACCCTGGGAAATAAAGTTTTGGCACCTAGATTCAAACTAGCTTTACGTCAGCAGGTTAATGAACACTTCCACCATATAAATGGTAAGTAAAGTACCATAGAACCTTGCTAATTTTGACATCAGTTATCTGCAAACCAGACCCTTATGAAGAAGAAACCACAGTGGTCTCTTCCAACTTCCCAGCAAGAGATTTATTAACAGCACACAGTAGCAGGGTGTCCTATTACCAAGACATTTACCACATACTGGTCAGGCCACTTACTATCATATTATGAAGTAATTAATAACACCTGCAAGAAAAAAAATGAGCATATTTGTTTGTTCAGTTCCTTAATCAAAAAAGATGAAAAAAATAGAGCGATAGCTTAAGCCATTTCATTATTAGAGAAAGTCAGAAATGTTTCATTAACAAAATTCAGAAGGGTTTGTATGCCCCAAACCTCTTTCTTTACCTCAAAAGTAGCTAAAGCAGGTATGCAGTTCACAGAAGAAAAATGTCATGACTGCAAAAGCTGGAATTCAGACACATTTATGAGCCTCTCAAACTGTGCTAAAAATGGAATAAACCAAATTATCCAGGGAGTTTTCTGTAAAGTAAGTCTTGTACTTTAAATAGAGAAATACATCTACCAGAGATACTGAAAAGCCATGCAATGAATCTTTTAGATATCTTCTAGAACACATGCCATATATCAATACTATCACTTTTTTCCACCAATAACTCCCTATTCTGTCACTAAGAAATACCTGTGTTTTCTTAGTGTTAGTCTTAGACTGTTGGGTCTTCTAATTAAAGAACTAATCCTATATTAAAGAACTAATCCTATATTTCCCAATAGAAAAAAAAATGAGAAAAAAACTCACTAGGAGAGAAAGAGAAAAAAAAAAAAGAGAGAAACACAAATGTGCCTAAAGTTTAGTTATATTGGATCATGTAAATCAACATTAAAATGAATGTGGGAAAATCTGCTGTCTTGTGCTGAAATTCTTATAGTTCTTCAGCAAAAGTGATGTTTCCCATAAGTAAATTCCATATACTGATATTTGAGTCAGTTACACCCAAAGCCAAGGGCCCCTTCCTCATTGATCTGGAAGTGCCACCTTCTCTTCTCCTTACAGGGATTTCAGTTGAGCTTTGCCACTAAGATGTGTACTTGCTTATACACATGCACTTACACATCACCAAGAGGTCAGAAGCAAGCCTGCTGGTGCTGCAGATACTCTTGGAAACAGGAGAAAAGAATAATGTGGTACAGGTGTAACTCTGTGAATTTAATGCTGAGAAATTTCCAAGGAAAACTCTCATTAGCTGGTAGTTTCTAGACATGTTAGACAAGGACTTAGCAAGAGACTGTGACCATGTACAGCAGCAGAGCCTGCCTTCCAGTCCCTTCAGCCAGAGCAGTCATATGGCTGCACTTGAATCAGGGCACTCAAGTCCGGGTGGTGGAAAGAAGAAAGGCAGAATTTGTTTGTTCCTCCTGCCTTCACCTGTGCATACACCGTTCCCACTCCAAATCACGCTTCCTGAGAAAACCTTGCTCCTTCCTTCTTATCCAAGCACTCAGGCCCCCTCCTCTCTACAGAGGAAACTCCAGGCTCAATCCAGAAACCTCTTCCCTTAGGAGCCATCTTTATAGGTAGCTAGTAGAAAACCCTCTTTACTTTTCTGGTCTTGCAATAACTTAGTAATAACATTATGTTAAAGGAGTATTACCGCAGTTTGGAATCCTCATATCCAGCAAAGCTGTCCTCTTGTTGTTGTCATCTGTGCAATATAAATCCTGAGTTTCTGTGTAGAACTTGGCCTCTTCAAATTTCTTGATCCACATAATTTCACAGGAACACTTGAATGGATTACCCACCAAAATCCTGCAGTAAAAAAAAAAAAAAAAAAAAAAGTTATTTCATATCAGCCAGATGTTTTTCCAATAACCACTATTTCCCCACTCTGACAAAATTCATTCCCAGTGTCCTGTAACATACATACAAAGCTTGATTCTGTCATTCTCTGTCCTTTTTTCTTTCCTTCTGGCCTGGAGCAATATACCTTCTTCAAAAACACAGACAACTTCTTCTCAGTGAACAAATATGTAGAGATTTGACTTAGAACTCCTTCAAAATTTCATAAGCAACTATTTCAACCACAACCTAAAAGAAACTGCTCACCTGAGATGGACAGGTTCAAGAAGACCTTGATCTGTACTTTGGCATAAATCTGTTAAAGCTAGCTGTCTAATTCCAAGAAAACAACAACACAACTGAAAGCATAATATGCCTTTAAAATTCCTGTCATTCCTTTTTAACATACTTCATAAGCTAGAGCATACCCAACTCTAACATTTCTGCAGCATGGGGGTGGCTAACATGATCCCATTTCTCCACTAGCTGCTTTGAAACATTAGGAAAAACCCAAAGAACGCATGCTGTACACTAGTGAAAATCCTATAACCCTGCTTTTTGAGGTGATAACAACCACAAAACACAGAAGTTACAGCCAAGTGCACACAACTTTTTGGCAATGACTAAACATTACGTATGAAGAAAAATAGACTTCAGAAACAACAGGCCCACGTGGGAAATACAGCAATGCGAGTGCTCTGACCCTAGCTAGTTTTTTCATCAGCACACAGTGACTGCCAACTTATAAAAGAAAATTCCAGTGAATTATGTTCCCCGGCTGTAAAGAAAGTGATTATACCAATTTAATTATCAACAAAACATACCTAAGGGGCAAAACCTCTTACTGTGGCACCAGGACATGTTCACTTAATTTCTCATGTGCTGAAGTAAGAACATGCAGAAGTGCAGGACTGCAAGGCATCCTCCTGGGCTACCCTGATCCTGCTCTGCACCTCAGACATGCAGCTTCCCTCCGCCCCCAGCACAACCATCCCAAAGCTCCTGTGGACTCTCTCTTATTAGTGAAGGCTGAACAAGAAGATCACTTCTCTTCCTACATTTTAACATGGAAGCACAGTTCCAGGCCTTAAAAATTAGTCTAAGGCAGGATAAAGGACTAGTAACAAGAGCCTCACACACACGACAATGTCAGCCTTCATTACTTTTTGTCCCAATACCCCCTTCATTGTCAGGTTATTCACAAACTCTACTTTTTCTATGATTCTTCCAAATAAATTCCAAACAAACACAACACATCAATATCTGCCACAGCACATCCCTTTCTGTCAAAGTATTGCATAACTTTGGAATATGCATCAATATAAAAATTTTGCTTGAAGAAGCACAGAGCAAAAATACAATATTGAAACAATTAACAAGTGTATTTTTACCCATTCTTCATTACATAGAGAGCAAAGCAACTTAAAGAATTTAAGAAAACAAAAATATTATTTCATAGCCAACCACAAGCACAGCAACTGTGAGACCAATACAAGAATATGTGATAAAGACCTCCTCTGAAGATCTGAATTTGGCTATATTTTTATGAACTCAAATATTTACTATAAACATCAGTAATTTTGTGTGAAATAATCTTATAATAACATAGTTTAAAGCTGGAGGGGGTAACTACTTTGCTACTAGCTACTATAGTAGCTACTATAGGTTTGTGTTAAAATACACTTGATCTTTTCTGAAGGCCTGGAATGAAAAATCTCTGTGTACTTAGATCTCTGCCAACATCTTTTCTGCCTTCTTTGGATGATAATTTCATTCCTAGTCTTTGATGGACATCTAACTTTAACAGAACAAACCTGATAGTCTTGTTCTTCCATTTCTGGCCACAAGTAAACATTACTTTAAGAAACGAAAACTTACAGATCAGACAAACCCAGATGGCGAAAAGGCTTCTTGGACAAACTTGACAGCTTGTTTCTGGACAAGTTGCTAAGGGAAAAAGAGATAAATTTTATTAATTAGATTTGTTTCTTCTTACAAAAATTAAAAAAATACAAAAAAAACAAATCAACTCTAAAAAGCTCTTATTCCTTTGACTTCAGTGATTCAGAGTGGTGCCCAGTCTCTTCTTCATAGTTTAAAGTGTATTGAGGATTTGAATCCAGCCTATGCATGAAGCTAAATGCATCCTTCAAAACTAAATTCAGGAAGGGTCAATATTTGCACTATTAGCACTTCTGTTCATTGCACAAAAGCAGTGGATTTAATTGTATTTCAAAAGTATTCTGTAAAGTCCAGGTGTTAATTACATGCTCAATTTATTCATAAGTGAAATGGGTGTATCCCTTCCTTTGATGCTGCACAAAACTCTGTACTCACATAAGTCCTTCTCACATGCTAGCACACATCCACATCACAGCCCTTTAGTTATTCTTTTCAAACTGCATGTGAAATATGCACCCACATGAAAGATCAAAAGGAAAACAGTAAAATGCCTATATTGGGCTTTTTATGTCAATTAAGCACTTATGGTTTCCAGTGATAATTAAGTGGAAGGACCTCCCCCATTATGCAGAGCAAATAAGTGCTCATCTGAAATAAATGGTCCCCCTCCCAGGCTTACAAAACATTTTGCTCCACCCCAAATCAAAATAAGGCTGTTCTCCTATAGTCTTATCAGTCCATAAATTAAAGACAGCGAGAGCAACAAACTGTAAAATTGTCAGCAACACCATGCATATCAACATCAGCCAAAATACCATGAGTTTTACATAGTACTACAGAGGCGCCATAGGGTCTCCATAGTTAAACTTAAATTGCATTTATATGAAGGATTAAATACCTTGTTTTTCTTCCTGATTAAAGAACACAATGTTTACTCTCCAAACTTTTAGCCCTTGATCTCTGAGTACAAGATAATTTTCAGAGAAATAACAAGGATGCAAATAGGGTCTTTTATAAACATTCAGAACGGAATCTTTATGAGATTTTATTTATCATAGTTCTTTGTTGATTCCTTCTAGCAAACTATGGCCTGAAGTTTGCAAGCTGATTGGTCCTAATGTGTGAGAACAAAATGTGCAAACTACTGTTTCATTAGTGAGGTCAAGTGAGCTGCCCTGATAGAAACGACATGCATGTAGGACAGAAGTTATGACTAAGTAAAAAACAGTCAGTAGATTAAGTAGCTATAATCTTTTCCCCATGAGCTGGGAAGTTGAAAGAATTTAAAACCTCATATGGAACTGAGTTCTTCTTTCCAGACAACGCTAAGCACATCACATCTCACTTTTCCTCAGGCAATTCTCTCTAGTCATGCAGAAAAATCTCTGCAGCCCTGACACTGCCAAGCCTCAGATGCTCCACGGTATTCCCAAACAAGGCAGGTACCTGCTTCTATTCCCTGGACAGTGACAAAATTTCACCTCGCCCCAAAGACAACAAGACCTATAGACCTCCCCTGCAGCTAAGCGCCTCCTCGACTAGCAGGAGGAAGTATATTCCAAGTCAAGAGAGGAGAAGATTTGGCGCTTGGTTTCCACATACCAGAAGACCAGGAGGACTCCGTAACCTTCAAACAATGGCTCACTCAGAAGATCACTGTCCAGCCAAAACTCTTTCATTTAGTGCAATCCCCCAGCATTCTAATGCAGAAGGTCTGGGCTGGAGCTCTGATTCCAGACTAGGTCAAATAAAGCAGGCTTGAAACACAACATCCCAATTTCTAAATACTAGAATATCAGAAAATGGGCCTCAAACACCTCATACATGTCCTATGAGAGGGTGTTTCTTTTTTTTCTTAAGAAATTATTGACTGGGAAAGACTTTGCTATTGGTAACCTGGAGTAGACCTAAAAGCATGTCTATCTAATGGGCAGGTCTGAAGTCATATTTTTCTACCTCACGGGCTACATTTCCTTGTTCAACTTACTCATGTTCATCTAAATTGTCCCATTCCCCTTGAAGAGCTAAGCTGCTTCAATCAGAGCTATAAAAATTACTGGACAGTAGACTGTGAAACAGTTAGATGTTGCCACAACTGTATCTTGCTGCAATTTAGCCTAAGGTCACGAATTGCTTTTGCTGAATTATTGCAATCTCTTAGACATAAGAATAGCCTTTACTTGTTTACATTCATAAACAACCAGACTTAACTGCCCAGAAAGTCAGCTGTCATGGTATTTTCTGAACCCCTTCCTGCAGGTATAAAAGACAGCACAAGGTAATGAAGAACTGGGACTATTACTTTAATAAAAGTAAAGTAAAGAAATGTAAAGTAAAGTAAAATAAAGTAGATGAAAGTAAATGAAAGTAAAAATAAATTAAAGTAAATGAAAGTAAAGAGAAAATAAAGACATATTATTTTATTTTTTAATGAAAAAACAAAAGTAACTCAGTCGGTATTTTGGTCTTTTGATTAGTAAATTGTCTCCTCAGATTTTTACCAGTTGTGTTGGATATATGCCAGATAAAGGAAGTAAAAAGCAGCCAAACAGTAACAAAAAATATTATTTGCCTACAATCTCGGTCATGACTTGACACATTTAGTACTTTAGGACTGTTGTTCTTTTCTTCCATGCAGGTCACAACCTTAAGGCTTTTCTGATTCAACTGATTTTTTTTTTCATCCCATTGTTAAAGATTTAGCATCTGCAACTATATTTTGTCAGTAAATCTACTGTTAAATATATTTTTCATAAGCTGAGCACTTTGTATTGATTACGGAGATGCCTACTCTTTAATCCATTTTAAGCAGAAAAAGCACTAGCAGGCTTAGCAAGGAGTAAGGACCACATTTACACTTGCATGCAAAGAGAATACAAATTAGTTCCCCAATTCTACTACAAACACACACAAATCTTGTGGTGAGGAATCAAAGAAGATCTATGTGCTATTCAAAGGCCTTTTTCAAAAAAAAAAAAAAAAGCCTGGAGTACAGAGTCTGGCTCCAGTGCTTTACCAAAAGATAGCACTGTCAGAATGCTCTAAAAAGCAGGACTGTATTTTACATATGAATATCAAGAGTACTTCATGCTAGCACAACTATGAGCACAGCTGCGGCAATGCAGGGAGTACAAGCACAGCCAGAGAAGCCACCTAAGATTCACATCTACAGTTGGGTCTCCAATGGTCAAACATGACTGCTTTTAACTCTGATCAGGCTGAGTGATACTAACACATTCTAATACCCAGAGCTGTTAAGTCCATAGTGCATGCAACCCTGTGATTCAGCAGTGCAATTATACTTAGCCTGACACATTACAATAGCTATTTTTCAATGTTTTGGGAAGTACATACTTGCTGTGAAATTTATTTCTGTGTTTAAAGGTATTGACAGAATACTGTGCACTTGCACTAAACAGACGGGTTAAAATTATTGTTAGTAGCATATGAGCTTATAAATTACAGCACTACTAAACTAGGTCCCTTTAACAGCTTGTTAGATGGGACTGTTGACTAATTTGAGTCTAAGGTCACTGAGAATACCAGAATTAGATGAGCAAGACTATTAATTACATTCAAGTGATATCTATTGCAGCATTTCTCTTCCTGTTGTTTATATTACTACTTAATTGTTGCCATCATGCATCAACTAGAAAGATGCTTGGATTACAGAAGTTTGGACAAGAAAAGAAAGTAATGAAAAAGGAAGCGCTTAAGAAATTGCGTGTTAATAAATTCCTTAATTTGATATGCTTTTATAACTCAGAAAATAAATGTTAGATTCTCATAATAAAGCTTCTTAACTACATCAAAAGACTTTTCATGTGAGAAAACTATAATAGTATCATTAACAAAACGAAAGCTCATACAACTATATATCAGTCTTCAGAAAAGTGGAATTTACATTTTCTTTTTGAAACAATGACAAACTGTTGTTTTAAAATAAAACATAAGAATTCTCAAAGACTTGTACTCAGAGGTCACTCTGGCAAAGTGAAATAATTTCAGCTTTTAATAGTTTTCTCAGTCCCAACCACAACAGGGGCTGCATTTCATTCCCAATGCAGTCAACAGGAGTTTTATTGCTGATGACAACACACACAGATTCACTGGAGCTTTCAGAAACATTTTAGCACGTACCAAGACTTCCTAGAGAAAACAAACAATTGTCTTTTTTTTTTTTTTCCCCACGGATAACAGATTGTCCATGGCAAAAAAAAGTCTCCATGATAACTGCTTTGTCACTTGCACTTGTTCTCTTTTTATTTTCAGTCTTATTTTGATTTATCCTGTACCTGCTAACGCTACTCAATTCCCACCAAAAAAAAATCATAGTATCAGATCCCTCTTGCAGTCCCCTCTTCTGAGTCAGGATCACATAAACATCAACCTGGCAGAGGTCAATCAGCCTAGCTTGTTTCTAACAATTAGCTTCATAAACTGAAGGTCTAATAAAGCCTGCTCATGTGTATTCCATGTTTGACTGTGAGCTCTAGTGGAAACTCGTCCTACAGCTGAGGCATTTTAAAGACATTGTGTCCACATAGATTCTGTAGTGCCCAAAGAATATAGGCACACAATGATATTTCCTCCCCAAATGGGAGCACTTACAGAAGCTTTCTCTTCTGTCCAATGGACAATTTCCACAAAGCTTCTTCATCTACATAAATTTTGGTCAGAAGCAACCGCTGGGAACAAAAAGACTTTGTGACAGCATGAGTCTTATTTCCCTAAGAAACCAGGCAAAAAAACCCCTAAATCTTCCACATTACTTTTTGCAGGGTCTACCTGCCTGTAGAGCTGGTAAGTTGTTACAAATACCTATATTCCTTGCTGGAAAAAAAAAAAAAAAAAAAAAGATTGTAGGATTATTATGGAGGAAACTGGCTCTCCTCTTCATATTTGCTCTCCCTTGAAAATTCTGTAATGTATGTGCCTTTTCAGTCTTATCTCTATTGCTCTAAGTAACTCAGCCTTCTCAGTGTTTCCTTGAATGATTTGCTTTAAAAATTCCTTATAGTTCTTTTGCTCTTCTCTGTGGTATCTTTCTGCAGGAGTAGATTCAGTCTCCTCATCTGTATACTGTATCCACCAGATGCCTTCCCAGCAGTTAAAGTAATGGTGAAAAGATGAAAAACTGTAACAGAAAATTCCTTTTGATTCCATACTGAATTTTCTTTGCTCTGCTGCATCATGCTGAGATTCTCTTCCACTTTAACTACTAAATCTTTCTCTGCAATTGTGCCACATAGCCAATAATTTTTCACTGTGCCTTTCCACAGGGACAGCATAGGCACTTTTCTTGATGGAATTTCATCATGCAGCATCATAATTCACTGACCAATTGTCAGACAGATAGACACCCCAACACACTCTACAAGATATTCTCCATATTCTCCAATTGATTATAGTAAAAGCAATTTACTTTATTAATGACTGTATGAAGCAATATGTAACCCTAACCCTCACAGGTTGACAAGATCTGGTTCATACTCCTCCAGTGTTTTCTTCATATTAAGAATAGCAATTACTATGTAAGTAAATTCAAATACTCATGTCTACTTTTTGACATAGATTAACTTCTTATTCTTGGAAAACACATGTGTAGAAAAGGAGCCCATTTTATCAACAAAGCAATCAGCACTAAGGCAAATTCAGCAATGCTTCCATATCACAGTAAAGCATTTAGGCACCTTATAAAGTCTGAGCTTCGGGCTTACTTCTTGATCTAACTAGCACTTTAACAAAAAGCCATGGGTTAGGTAAGTGTTAAACATTTCTAACAAAGAAAGATGGATGATCTTAAACACAAACTTGAAAACTTGGCTAAAATAGGGTACCTGTGAGAAGGTAAACCCCATACATGATCTGAGTATTTTGTAGAACTAGGACTAGAATTTTTCATGTAAGTGTCAGGAGTGTCTGTAAGGGACTCCAGTCCTTCAGGGATTTTCCACCAAACATTTTTTCTTTACTTTTGTGAAGAACTCTAGTCAATTCAGCCTTTACTAAATCTAAAACGCAAACAATCTAGAAAAGCACAGTCACAAAGCTGCACCGCTAACCACTCTGTCTCCTGAAATTCATGAACTGCAAACTGCAAATGGGTGGGAAAGTTACCTCATTCTTATATTGTGATATTGGGGGCATCCATGTTAGCATTTTAACTCAGATCAGGAGTGAGCTTCTGAAGAAAATCTGATGATGATCCTCACTTACAAGAGCTCATTGTCGCAGAGTCTCAGGGCAGACAAGCTGCTAAAATGACACTAAAAGATGTGCTTCAGGCATGCACTCTGGCTACTAAAACACGCTCAGTCCACTGAATCAGATTACAGCTAGTGCAACATCAAGCCCATGTCAGTGAATGTGATACATCCTGCATGGATGGACATCATACCCTCAATACCGATTGACTCAGTCCAAAGATATACTCCTTAATAAAGAAACAACTGCCAGAAACCACTATTGGAGCTGTCCTTCATCCAAAGATAATGAGCTGGATGATCTTTTTGCCATCTAACATTATATTTTTATGATCTGCCAAACCCTTATCACACATGCCCTACTTAAGTCCACTAATTGACAACAGGGCATTCCAAATTTTTATGATTAAAACACTTTATATAAAGGAAACAACTGTTCTAGCCAAACTCTTCTCAGTGGTGGCCAGTGTCAGGACAAGGGGTAATGGGTAGAAATTGAAACACAGAAGTTCCATCTCCATGTGAGGAAGAACTTTACTGTGAGGGTGACAGAGCCCTGGAACAGGCTGCCCAGAGAGGTTGTAGAGATGTTCAAAACCTGCTTGTATGCAACCCTGTGCCATATGCTCTAAATGTCCCTGCTGTAGCAGAGAGGGCTTGGACTAGATGATCTCTAGAGGTCCCTTCCAACCTCAATTATCCTCTGATTCTGTGAAACAAGAATAAAGAGAAGGATTTAACAAGAATTGGGCAATTTTCACTTAAAAGACAGAAACAATGTTTACTCACATGTATTGTAGGTTGACATTTTTCACAAATGCCTGCCGGGACACAAAGCGTAAACCTGAATCCACCACAGTCCTACGAAAATACATAAAACTGTTAGCATTGTTCATTTAAAATACAAAGGAGTTATAATAACAATAAATGATTAAAAAAGAATGCATATGAAGTCACAGCTATGCTGAACTGCAAGTCTTACAGCTATATTCTATATCACACAAAGTTAGGTCTATTTTTGATGAGGTCTGTATCTGCTTCCACAAAAGGAATAAAGCAATATTAACACCACAAAACAATCATCTGATATACTCACAAATTTTTAAGTCCAACATAAAATCCAACTTCGTTGTCATTGATACTTTCTAATTTACGCTGGTTCGCAATATAACTGTTGAAAACACAAGAGAGAAAATAAAATATGAACATGTTGCTCCCACAGCTTTGATTGTTCAAAGTCAGCAGGGAAGTCTGACAGCCAGCAGCAGCCTCTGATCTATTGCAGTGAACACTGAAATCTAACTGGATCATCCACAGAGCAGAAGTACCCCTTCCAGCTCTCCGCCCTCCATCATTTAACTGGTATTTTGCAGGATGGGGCTGATGAAGGAATAGCTGAGTTTTAAAGGCTGCTGTGTCCTATTATTTCCCTCATGTTGTTCTTAATTTAGTCATTAATTGAACTAATTTCCTCCCTGCCCAAAATAGTTACAGTTTTACTTGAAGCAATAGGAGAACGGAGGGAAGGGAGGCTACATTTCAGTATCTTACATACACAGGTAGAAATAAAGAGAATATAAGTTCTTGTGAACTCACACAAGAGCCCTCTCACATACCATGAACAAGCTAAGCCCTGAGAAGATGCAGGAATG